GCATTCATTGCTGTATAATTTTACACTTTCCATTTCACTATATTGAGCACCACACTTTTAAAAAAATGTTTTATTTTCACCGCTCCAAGCTTGCTCCTGTGATGGACTTCAATCTCAATACAAACTAGTAGTCCCATCACTGGAGCCATTTTTTAAAATGTATTTTATTGTTTATCCGATTAACCGATTAATCAAACTTAATAATCGGCTAACTAATCGATTTTGAAAATAATCGTTAGCTGCAGCTCTATACTTGTTTATCCTCTCAGGTTGCTGTCCTAGAAGATGATTAGGGAAATGTTCCGTTAGACTTCCCGGTAACGGTATTTCTTGAAATCTTCCAGGACAGGCCTACTTCCCACCCGGAATAATGTATGGAATGTTATTTGTTGTCGGTGTGTCCCCTCGTTTACTGGTGGTGGTAGTCGTCCTACTTTTATCTCAACTGAGGTACGAGGGGAAGGTGAGGGGCTTTTAACTATTTTACTAATTGTGTTTCCACGAGTCATCTCTCAGGTTGCTGTCCTGGAAGTTTCCTAGAAATACCGTTACCGGTAAGTCCAACTGAACATATACCGTATTTTGCGGTCCATAAGACGCACCGGACAAGAGGACGCAGGGAGGTCCGGCGCGCCTTATGGAGCACTCCACAGACTGTAGCTTCTGACACAGCTTCTATGACAGAAGCTGTGACAGAAGCTGCAGTTAGTGACCGCTGAGACAGGTGGCGCTGTGATTACAGCGCCACGGTCTCAGTGATCACACAGAGCAGACGAAGTAAGTCCGTTCTTCGTCTGCTCTATGGTGATCTCCATCGTCGCCGCTGCTCGGTTTTAATACGAGTGATCTCATTAGATCACTCGTATTAAACGAGCAGTGGCTCCTACTGCTGAATACGATCGCCGCCGCCGCTGCTCGGCTTTAATACGAGTGATCTCATTAGCTCGTATTTAACGAGCAGTGGCTCCTTTTGGGGGGGAAAAAAGTGCGTCTTATGGAGCGAAAAATACTTTAACTTGCCTCAGATATTTATTTTTAACATTCTGTTTTGTTGTCCTTCATCTTTTGTACAGTGGGGCTTATTTTATATTAGGGCTGCAACTAATTTCATAATTGATTAATTGACTGATCATTTACTTGATTGGATTAAAAGTTTTAGTTAAAATAAAATACACAAATGCAGTGATACAAACAACGTTTACTTCAGAATAAAAGTGCACATTTTTTGCAATCGCACTTCAAGCGGGAGGCATGTTTGCGGTGCCACTGAAATGAATGGCACTGCAACGCACCATAACGAACTGAAATCAAAAACGACTTTATTATTTTTTATTTTTTTTTAATAACCGTTTGTATTGTTAGACATTTTAACTTAGTTTCATGGATTTTAAAATCTGAATTGAAAAAAGAGATCTAAGCCAATATAATAAAATAACCATCTTTTTTTTTAAAATAACACCAAAATTTTAAAAATTATTGCCCTCTGGCGCACATGACGATACCAGACATGTGATCGTCATTTTCATATGCCAGTGCACCTGACTTGTGTTTGTGTTAGTATGAGCACTATCGCGGGGTCAAAGGACTTTTTTTTTGGGGGTGGGGTGTATTTTTAATTTATTTTATTTAACCTTTGTTTTTTTAAAACTTCCCTTTTTAAAATTTTTTTTATTTTACTTCATTGCTATCACATGGGGGGGAGGGGGGGAGCTCACAATGTGATAGCACATTGGAGATGACAGATTCTCCTTAAGGTGATGTTAGGGGTCCTTCTCTGCCTGCTGTTAGTCAGCAGTGGAGGAACTGAAGGAGAAAGTTCTCCTTCAGGTCCTCCTCTGCTGATTGACAGCAGGCAGTGGGCGGGTGCAATAGCCAGTCTGCTACTGGAATTTAAAATGGCCAATAGCAGGCTGGCTATTGCTCCCAGGCGCTGGATGGGATCAAGCCGTAAGAAAGGGGACACGGGGAGGTGCAGCGGGAACGAGCAGTGTGGACTCGAAGGAGCACCGGAGGCAACGGGGGATTCCAGAGGCACAGCTGTCTCTCCTCCCCGCATGGGGTGCGAGCTGTAGACACAGACCACAGCATGCAGGGGCTCCCAGCGGGGAGGAGCATGTGGCAGCAGGTGGGCGGGAGAGTGAGTGAATGAGTTTTGACCTCTCCTTCACCGCTGAGCATTGGCTGTAGGGGTCTGTGTCCCCTCCCATCACCGTTGGGAGCAGTGGAGATCAGAGGGGACATGGAGCCCATGAAACAACTAATCGAACAATCAATTAATAATAAGAATCGTTGATTAGTTGTTGCAGCCCTAATGTATATGTAATGGAAAATGTAGGTGATGTTCCTTATAAACAGTTGGATCCAATCTATCACATTGTAGTGCAGATTATAAATCGCAGGTGCACAATTATAAATTTGGAGAGGTAGAGTAAGAGATGTGACTACCAAAGGGTTGAAAAGTAATGGGTGTGGCAAAATAGCAATAATGTTGTATGCTATGTAGGCCTTAAGCCATTACTGAAAGTGACACTAAACCCCATGACACTAAGGGGGGTTATTCAGTTAGGTGTCGAAGGCAGCCTAATGGAAGACAAAATTGGAGAACGGAAGCGCCACTACCTGGCGCAATAAATGTGGTGAGGCTTGGTGAGATGGATAAGTGATGTACTCACCTATGGTAGGTGGATCATTATTCGCTTTTAGGACGGCCGTCCAGATGGAATGGAGCAGTTGTGGGAGACGGTCCTTCTTGGGATGGGTGGTGTAGCGGTGCGACACAAAGGAACACAGGAAGGTAAGGTGAGGTAGGTGAGCACAAAAAGGAGAGATTAAGTAACTCACCGCAAGGAAAATGAAAGCTGGCTCTCAACGACAGATGTGGGCTCATGTGGGAAGCTGCAGGATGGTCCTCTGCTGGCGTGGTAGTCCTGCTGGACGTCCGCGGTGTCCGGCGCTGGGGAGAGACGCAGTGCTGGAGGGTGGTGTGAATGCTGAAGTGTTGTGATGGCCCCCTGAAGTGACTGCTGGAAGGGGGGTGAGGATCCGGAGTGGAGGCGGATGTGGATGAACGCTGGGTCCTCCTATTAGTCCGGCGAGTCTGTGTCCTCAGACTGTCGGCTTTTTTCTTTTTTTTTATTTATAATTTTTTTTTTGCACTTATTATTATTGCTATTATATAGGGGGATAACAATCCCCCTATATAATAGCAAAGGCACACTGACAGGTCCTCTTTATGGAACATTAGGGGTCTCTAGGACCCCTAATGTCACCTGTGGACCCCAAAAGAAGCTGATGAAGCAGAGATCTTCGGCCGCGGGGGGAACGAAAAAACGAGCACATATAGACGATGGGCGGGCTATGGAGCCGCCGATCGTCTATATGTGAAACACACAGTAACGGGTGTTTGCATTGGTTGGGTCCTTTCTGCCCGTGCTTGCCCGCTGGAGACGGCAACCCGCCAATGCTGCAGTGCTGTCTGTCCGTTTGTTTACAAAGTGGTTAAAGAAAAAAAAATTCAAAATAATTTTTTTTAAAACAACGCATGCCTGCCTGACCGCATGCGACAAAATCTTGCCGCATAATGAAGCATCTGACAGATGACGGCAAAATAAAAACAATCGGTCGGAGCTAGCCGTAACATCACCGCTAGCTCCGCCCAACTGTTTCCTATTGGCCAGAAACTGCCAGAGTTTTCTAGAAGGTCCCAGCCAATAAATAACTGGGCAGAGCTGACCGTGACATCACGATCGGCTCCGCCCAGGTTTTGTTTAATGACAGATCAGCATCCCCAGGTGATTTGGGGACGCTGGTCTGTCATTGCAACTGGGCAGAGCTAGCCGTGAGATCACAGCTGGCTCTGCTGTCACTTCGGCTCAGTCGAGCTGAAGCATATGCCTTCGCTTGGCTGTGCTGCTCGGCTGCTGTACGGGTTATTGTGATTAGCCCGTACAGCAGCCCTTCAGTTCGACTGAACTGAAGGGTTCAGGCGGCTGAAATGAGTGAAAAACCCTCTAAATCTCCTAATAATTTTTAAATTATTAAAAATTATTATTATTATTAACTATTAACAAAATTAAAATGTATCTGATTTGCGTATCACTTAGCTGTAGATCCTCAAATCAATTAAATTATGCTGACCTTCTGTCCTTCCTTCTGTCCTTCATTCTATCCTTCTATCCTTCCTATGGTCCCTGTGCATGTTCTAAAGTAGCCACCATTCCAAGCTCATTCCCATGATGGACTACAATCACAATACAAATTTGTAATGTGAGATTGTAGTCTATCTCGGGATCGAGCTTGGAGCAGTGGCTACTTTACAACACATACAGGGACCATGGGGAACAAAAGTAGTCACCTTCCAGAAGCTACAGCTGCAAGCTCCCTATGTGATAGCAAAAAGGCTGTGACGGGTCCTCTTTTTGGAGACTATCAGGGGTTGATAAAACCCCTAATGTCACCTACTGACTCCCAAAAAAGCTGATGAAGCAGCAATCTGCTTCCCCAGCTTCTTCTTCGGCTACAGCAGCTGAAGAAATGACAGAATGACTCCGGAAAGTGATATACACATCACTTCCGTGTCCAGTGATTGGAGCGGAGTTCAGCAGCTGGGAGTGTGTTGATCTCCCTCCAATCTCAGCATATAGACCCACACAGAGGGGGGACCACACACTTGCTTTTAACTCGCAAGCGATCCGGTGGCTCTATAGCTGCCCGAACGCTTGTATGTAAACAGCCGACGCTGGCTGTTTGAAAAGGCTAAGTTTTCCCAGGTGAGTACGTTTTAAAACGCCCATCTGCATTTAATAGTGTCCCATCTGGCTGTTTATTTACAAGTGGTAAACCTGGTTAAAAATGATGATAAATTATTAAAATGTGTTTTCAAAAACCACTGGAATCTATTGGTATTCTGTGAAAGCAGAAACTGAAGCTTTTACAACAATGTGTGGATTATCCATCATCTATTCATGGAAATGATTGTACTTTTAAATTTTTTTGCATAGGAAGCAGATGGCACGTTGGATTGCATTAGCATGGCCCTCACCTGCACATTTAATAGGTGGGGAACTCTTCTTGCTGTGGGATGTAACGATGGTCGTATTGTTATATGGGACTTCCTAACGCGGGGCATTGCTAAGATCTTAAGTGCTCACATTCATCCGGTGTGCTCTCTATGGTGAGTAATCTTTTTTTATTTTTTTTTTATTAACTGTCCAGCACACTTCACATGTAAAATGTGGAATATAACATGGGTGCAAAAATGGAAAAAAGGGCCTCAGTCATGAAGGGGTTAATGATAATAAAGTCCTTACATTGTGTATTTTTTGGAACCTGCTCAGTGTTTTTAATGTAATCAACATTTTCATGTTTGTGGTACTGTACTTTTTATGGTATTTGAATTCATGTATCCTTAAAATTTTGCCTGCTTTACAGCTGGAGCAGAGATGGTCATAAGCTTGTGAGTGCCTCTACCGATAACATAGTATCTTTGTGGGATGTCTTGTCTGGAGATTGTGATCAGCGGTTTAGATTTCCTTCCCCCATTCTTAAAGTTCAGTTTCACCCCCGTGATCAGTAAGTAATAGTAGATGTATTCTTTTAATATATTCTTTTGATTCTTTACTGGTCCTGTGGTTGGGTCTGTACTGAAGTATTGCTATCTTAAACGGCTTATACTCCCTATTTATTTTTTGCTTATACTTCTTTTTGTCAGGGATAAAGTTCTAGTGTGTCCCATGAAATCTGCTCCTGTTATGCTAACACTGTCAGACTCCAGCCACGTCGTCCTACCTGTAGATGATGACTCTGATCTTAATGTAGTAGCATCTTTTGATCGGAGAGGAGAGTATATCTATACAGGAAATGCCAAAGGGAAGGTACGCTGCATTAGAAACGTTAGTATATTCTTAAAAAATTAAAGTAAATTAAGGGACACTTAGTGTATCTCTTTTTTTTTTCCCTCCAGATTTTAGTGTTGAAAACGAACACCCAGGATTTGGTGGCATCTTTCCGTGTTACAACTGGGACCAGCAACACAACTGCTATAAAATCCATAGAGTTTGCACGGAAGGGCAGGTAACAGCTAATTCAGATGGCAAGATTCTCTAATTAACTTTTGTATAATTCTGTTGCTTCCTGCTGATTTATCTTAATAGTCTTGTTCAGGACTGCAAACATTTTTGTTGCCACGTAGCTGTGCTAACCTAAAAAATTGCACAGTGGTGAAAAATAATTACACTCCCTCTTTGGTTATAGTAGCATTGTAACATGCAAGTACAAGTTTTACAAGTTTAATGTACCCAATCACATTAAGATAAGAAGTTATTCTGGCCAATAACACATTTTTTAAAATTTTCTTTTGAATGATGAAGACTTAAGGGGTATTCCTATTGCAATAAGTGCAGCTCTGCTATTTTGACATGTATTAACAATGAACATGTGTATTGTAGATGAGGAGTCCATTGTCATGGCTCCTAAGAGTCATTGGTGATGATTTTATTTTACTGATGGGCTAAAAGACATTGCGAGTAGTAAGCACAGACCTGATTTGCAACACTTGTTGTAGAAGGCAGAGATCTCTGCAGGTATAAGATACTTCTGCAGGTGGATGTGACAGGGCAGATGTTACTTTTACAAATGCCAGCCTAAGGCTTTTGATCGAGTCAGGACAGTTTCTTACCCTATTCAGGTTAATGGGAATGAAAAATCAGGTTGATGCAGCTTAGGTCAACTGGACCTTAGGTGAAATGCACCTGTTGACGAAGTCTGAATAATCACAGAGGCATCTCAAATTCCAGCAAATGCAAGCTGTTTTTGCCCATTAGCCCAAAGCTTGTCCTCATGGGCCCTAATACAATTTGTGGCTGGGGTAATCTGCTTCTGGATCTTTGGCCCCATCATAAAGGTACACTAGATTCAAGGTTGAACAGAAATCCTTGAATTGCCTATAGAGAACACGGGCAAACTCTGAGGGCTTAATTTTGTCATCCAGGCATATAGTGTTTTGGGCCACTCCCCTGCTTTTTGTTTGTGGTAAAAAAAAAAATCTATTTTGCTTACCTGTGAGGTATTTCCAAGCACATCAATTGTTGCCCCTTGTTGTCTTTTCCATACAGAAATATTGATGCATTGCTTGTTATCATTCACCTGTCTAATTCTTACCTGCCTTGGTAGAGTTAATCTGGTTATTGCCAGTCAGAGACAGGAAATTTCATAGTACTAGATTCAGGAAGCAGAGCCAAACCACACACACGAGGAGCTGTTTGAAATATAATTACTATGGATTACATAGGATTATGAAAAATTTGAAAGAGACATGAAGAGTTCACTGAGTGATTTAACTTGCTGCTTGGAGTTGTCCTTTAAGACCCGTTTACACTACCCGTTTCTGCACAGGAAAAAAGCCAGTTGCCGCTAGGGCACATAGAAAACAATTGTGAATAATAGGGATGTCCCGATACAGGGCATTTTGACAAGTACTTGTCAAAATGCCCCGATGCCTAGCGCCGAAGCTTGCGCTGGGTTTTTATTTTTATTTTTACCTTCCGTTGTGGCTGGGGTTGAAGTCCTCTGGGCAGGCTGGAGGAGTGTCGCATCACTGATGTGGGCGGAGCTCCAGGTGGGGTCTAATGTAGTTGGCTGGCGACTGCCCAGAGGACTCCGCCTGTAGCTCCGCCCACAGCAGTGACGCTCAGCGCCGCCGACGTCGTCCTCACATGAGGAGAAAAAAATCATTCGGCACCCCATGAGGCTCCATCGACGAGAGGAGGATAGTTGGTAATCCTTCAATAATGTGAATGGTGTGTGCTCTCAAATGTGTGTGAACTGATATTGGGAAAGGCGAGGAGGTGTAGGGGTTGGTCACTGCTGTTGGAGCTGGGGAGGGCACAATGACAGTGGGAGCCTGGGTCAAAGTGTTGTGTGTAATTGGAGTCTAGGACTGAGGCGGAGCGCTGTTAGTGGCAGGCACAGGTGGATGCGGGCTGTCGGGGCTGAAGGGGGGTAAGGTCAGAATGCTATGAAGGGCTGCCTGTGGAAGTGCTGTCGGCGGCTAACAATTCAATGCGGCATCTTATCCAGTGACACCTCGTCCAGTGCCCGCGGTTCTCTTGTACTTGCAGAGCCCACTCGAGATCCCACCTGAGGGTGAACCTGCAGAGCCCACCATAGATCCTCAGGTGGGCTGGTTTTATTGTTCTAAAACAGTCTTTTAAATTAGAGGGCCAGTACTTGTACTTGGTCTTTAAAAAAGTGGCATCGGGACATCCCTAGTGAATAACCCCCTGGTAAAGAAAGAAGCCTTTGATCCCCTTTTAAATTTTTTTTCAAGGACCTAGGAGATTTTAAGGCCTTGTTCACACCAAATGAAGAGCACATCCGCTCAGGTTTCTGCACATGCAGTGCAGTGGGTTGTGCTGCGTTTTTGATGCGTTCCGGGCCGTTTTTGGTATAAAAAAAAAAATGTTTTTAACTTTTTCTTTTAGTTTAACATGGGCGTTCCATTCATTTGCATGCATTTTTTTTGGCGTTCTTTTATGCATTTGCAGATCCAGAGCAGGTAAAATAGGGCCTGCTGCAGCTTTTTCACCTGCTCTGGAACTGCACGCTGTGATGTGAACTGGAGCAAAAAATACCATTGGAATACATTGGACGCAGTTTTGATCCGGTCTGCAACTGCTCTGCATCTGCTCCGCACTTGGTGTGAACAAGGCCTAAGAGAATAAATTTGCTTCCATTTAGACTTGCACTGTCTGTTCTCAGTCTTCTCACTTCTTATATTCCAGTGCTGAAATTGGTAAATTTGCTTTTAAAGGAGAACTATGGGTCAGTGTTTTTCCCCATAGTTCTCCTTAGGGTAACGGGAGGACACAAACTAGCGTCCTCCCGTTACCCTAAGCTCAGTATACCGTGAGCTATAGCTTGCGGTATACTGAGACGCCGGAGCGGTTCCCGACTTAGACGACGGGATCCGCCCAGCTGCGTGAGTGACAGCTGGCTCTGCCTATCCCGCCCCCTCCCCGTCCGTTCCGCCAGTCAGCGCTGGCAGATCGGAGTGGGGAGAGGGGAATCCAGCCCCTCCCCCTGTCACGGCAGAGAGCGGTGACAGGATCGAGAGGTGAGCGAACCCGGTATGTGTTCGCTCACCTCCCGATCTACTGAGCCGTCTCATTGTCACAGGTCGGCTAGAACTATGAGGTGAGTGAAAAGCACTCACCTCATAGTTCTCCTTTTAAGACCTATGTAAGAACCAATCCTACATTTCTGGCTTAAGAATTAAAAGCTGTTGGTGAGTAAACAGTCAAATCCTTTTTACACTGGTCGCTAGACAGCATGACTCAGGAGATGGGTGTCCCTTGGTCCATCTGTTACTTAATCTTCATTACTATGAAGGTCAGTAGTTGCTTACTCCTGCAGTCAGTTAGACTCCATAATCAGCAACGTCTAGAGTGAATCTGTCACTATCCCTGGATACACAATTGTGTATCCAGGGATAGTGATTGTTTTTGTAACTGCATATAATCATATTGCATGCGGTATGCAGGCGTTTACATCCAGCAGCTGTCACACCCGATCATTAATTTGAACGGGTGACAGTTGCTGCATGTAAACGCCAGATTACGGATTCCTGCTGCAGGAAAACGCAAGTTTGTGACACAGGAATCCCTAATCGTACCTGAAATATAGGGACCTAATATACACACAGAAGCCCTCCAAAGCCTCCCAGCACACCATAATATACTCCCCCCTCCCTCCAAAGCCCCCCAGCACACATCATAAACTTCCCCCCTCCCAAGCCCCCAGCGCACATATTAATAAAGCCCCCCTCCCTCCTTTTTCTTCCAAGCCTCCTCACCTGCTTTCATCCGTGCAGGGAGAAGGCACATCGTCTCGTCATGCCTTGGTGATCATTAGTAAGGTCTGCACTAGACCTTACTAATGATCAATCATTCGGCCGGAGCTCAGAACTGACAGAGCTCCGGCCGGACCTGACAGGAGCAGCTCTGCGGTCTGTATCCCTCGGAGATGCAGACCGTGTAGCTGCTCCCGCAAGTCGATCACGCGGTCCGTGACCGTGTGCCCGACTTGTCAGCTGGCTGCGGGCCACTTAGTACCAGCTCGCAGGCCGGAGTTGGCCCGTGGGCCGGTACTTTGAGACCGCTGGTCTAGAGAATACCACAATCTAGATGGCAGCCTAGATGACCGATTGTATTACAGAGTTCTAGATCACAGTTCATAATCTGTGTACATACATGGGAAATATCATTGGCTGCTTCAAGGGTATCTCTGGGTAAACAAATCTTCCCTTGCAGTGGGGCTACCCTCCCACTGCAAGGGTCCTCTGCTCATTAATGTCTAGGGGACAGGTGAATGCAGTTTTACTTACCTCCTTCTGCTGGCTCCAAGACAGGCGCCCACAGCCTCTCTCCCTGACCATCATGACCCCCCAATCGTCACACATGGCTTCTCCATTTTGGCTTTGTTTGTAAAATAAATAATGACACCGTGTAATATGTTGTGTGTTGTTGTTCATCTGAGGTTGTATTTACCTAATTTGAAGACCTGCTAAGGACCAGATGATTTTTATTACTATTATTATTAGTATGGATGCACTGAAATTTTGGCTGCCGAAACATATCGGCTGAAAATGGCACTTGTGGCAAAATGCCATAAGTGCCATCTTTTGGCCGAAATTGCGGTGCATGCCTGGTTTCTCTCCCCGCTGGACGCTGCTCTGTGTCCCCTCTCACACAGCGCAGCATCCTACGGAGAGGAGAGAAACTCACAGGTGGCCAAGCGGTGCGGGAAAGGAGAGCGATGTGAGTGGCCGTTGTATCACAAGAGGCCAGGCTCTGCTCCCGCACCACCCCACTCAGCCTTCTGTGACGGATCAGGAGAGTGGTGTGTGGGCAGTGACGGCTGTGAGCGCTGTCACGGGAGGCTGCACTGCTCTTTTTGTATTATCCTGGGGTCTGCTTAGACCCCTAATATTTCCCCAAAGCCCCCAACAGTAAAGTTAAAAAAAATGAACATATGTTAGACATTTTTTTTGTTTCAGACAATAACATTTTTTTTTA